GGGGGGGGGGGACCAAGAACGTGGCTGGCAGGGATGGCGGAAAGAACCAACTGAACTTTGCGACCCAAGCCCGGGACTTTCGGGCTCACTCATTAGGGCAGGAAATCGACTCACCAAAAACCTCAAACAAAGAAAAACAAACCACCATCCGGGCAGGAAGAGTGGCGAGACCAGTCCAGAAATAAAGGAAAAGTTTTTTTTTTGTTGTTTTTGTTTTGTTAATTATGGAGATGGCATCTACCTGATTCTGGGCTTTGGCAGGAAAGTGAAGGGTTAATGAATGGACAGCCGGCTGAGTGCGGATCCGCCCGGGCTGGGTCTTTTCCCGGCTCCGATTGCCAAGCTAATTACTCGCCGTTTTATCTGTAGTTTAACTGTCTTCCAGCCCCCGCCGGCAGGAAAAAACAAACAAATGGTAATTTTTCAAAACGGCAAGAAACAAAAACACCCAAACAGGTCCTTTCCGCCGAGCTCGTCTCCCAACCCGGTTCATTTCTTTTAAAAGAAAGAAAAACAAAAACCAGACCGAACCTGCCTTGCAGCCGAGGCCGCTGAGCGCCCCAATTAAGCAGGTCGCCGCGAGAGGGCCGAGCTCCGGAGGTGCCTACGCGCGGCCCTACACCGACCTCCAAAAGCGGGGAAAAAACAAGCCCCCAGACTTTGCTCTGGAGTCATGAGGGTCCCCTCGCCGCCAGAAGAGGGTTGGGACCTGAGAAGCCGGTGAGCTAGGCAACAGGGGCGCCGAGTGGGTGGCGCACAGCGCCGAACAGTCGAAGGCAAACCTGGCGGCTGGGCCTGCTCCGCGCCTCTCCGAGCGGGGGCCGCCGGGGGCTTTGAGGAAAGGACAGCGAGCCTGGGGGATCCCCGCGGGCTCCGGTTCTCTCGGCAGCGGCCAGGCAGAGCAGGCTATCCGGCCTGCTCCGCCCGAGCGCATTCAAGGATAACTTTCCGGTCTGCGCCTGTCCCCAAAGGGCCAAGCGCCGGGAGGCTAGCTCTGCAAGCCAGCCACAGTTTGGGGGACTGGGGGGCCACACTGCGCCCGGTCCCTGGCCGCCCGGCCCCCTCTCTGGCTACGCGGCCTCCACCCGGGCCTTGCCCAGGACCCACCCTTGCACGCCAGGCCGGTGCGGACTGCGGCTCCGCGGCCCCGCGACGTGGCACGTACCTTGGAAGCGGTGGCCCAGATACCGGTAGCGGTGGATGAGCCAGGGGTAGAAGGTGGATGGGTCCCGCTGCTGCGAGGCGAAGAGGGGGTGTGGCGAGTGCGAGGAGGGCAGGGGGTGGGCGGCCAGCGCGTGCGGCGGCGGCACCGGGTGCACCGGCACGGCGGGGTTGGGCGGGTGCGACACCGCCTCGGCGAACACCAAGTCCGGGTTGGAGTAGACGCCCCTGCCGGCGGCGGCGGCGGCGGCGGCGGCCGAGTGGAAGCCGTTGAGGAACGGGTTGATGGGACTGGAGTTGGCGTAGCTGAGCGCCGCGGGGCGGATGGGGTCTTCGGAGCGCGAGGCGGGCAGGGGACTGTCCTTAGCCACCAGCGATTCGATGGTGAAGCAGCGCTTGGGCGCCGGCTGGAACATGCTGCGCCGAGGAGCGGGCGCCCGGGGCTCCCGGCTCCGGGCGACCGCGGCGCGCTGCCTCCTCCGCCCGCTGCCTGTGGCGAGCACCGACGAGAATGGGGGGCTTGTTTGTTTGGGGTGGGGGGGAGAAAAGGAAGAAAGAAAGGGACGGAGAGGAAAAAGGAGAGGAGGGGGGAGGGGAAGGAGACGCGACGCGGAGGCTCGGGAGAATCTTGCACCAAACGCGCCCAACCTGGAGAGAGGGGGAGAAGTCCTTCCAGAAGAATTTGCAGGCGTGGATTGGGGTAATTTTTTTTTTTTTTTTTTTTTGGTGCACTGCTCCTTCCCCACTTCTCTGGCAACCAACAAAAAAACAACAAAGAAAGTTTTTGACGAGATGGCGTGGGGGATCGGAGTTAGAGGAAGGGAGGAGGGGGGAAGTTTCTCGGGGGAGGCAAAAAAAAGTTTTCTCTCCTCTGCAAAAGGCGGGCAGGGCGCCCTAAGTCCAAGGACAATCCATGGAAGTGTTCGCTTCTTCACAAGTTGTAGAAACGATTTGTTAGTTCATGAGCCTAATTAGTGCGGGGATCACATAAACAGCTTCCTGCGATGCCCGGTAAATGGCTTGATGATTGGTCGTTATTACTCGCCCCGAGGTGGAAGGGGGGAGACTCTTTAAAGTGCGTCAGAGGGCGGCGAGCGCCTGGGAACCCGGAGGCCTGGATCCGCGCCGAGAGTGGAACGGAGTCGCCGCCCTGC